GTTTGGTGTGGTAGTGGTGGTGGTGGGGATGGTGGTAGTGGTAGTGGTGTGGTGAGGATGGTGGTAGTGGTAGTGGTGGTGGTGTGATGGTGGTAGTGGCAGTGGTGGTGGTGGGATGATGGTAGTGGTAGTGGTGTTGGTGGTGGAGATGGTGGTAGTGGTAGTGGTGTTGTGGTGGAGATGTGGTAGTGGTAATGGTGGTGGTGGTGGGGATGGTGGTAGTGGTATGGTGGTGGTGGTGGGGATGGTGGTAGTGGTAGTGGTGGTGGTGGGGATGGTGGTAGTGGTAGTGGTGGTGGTGGGATGGTGGTAGTGGCAGTGGTGGTGGTGGGATGATGGTAGTGGTAGTGGTGTTGGTGTGGAGATGGTGGTAGTGGTAGTGGTGGTTGTGGTGGAGATGGTGGTAGTGGATGGTGTGGTGGTGGGGATGGTGGTAGTGGTATGGTGGTGGTGGGATGGTGGTAGTGGTATGGTGGTGGTGGGGATGGTGGTAGTGGTAGTGGTGGTGGTGGGGAGTGGTAGTGTAGTGGTGGTGGTGGGGATGGTGGTAGTGGTGGTGGTGGTGGGGATGGTGGTAGTAGTGGTGGGTGGGGATGGTGGTAGTGGTGTGGTGGTGGTGGTGGATGGTGGTGTGGTGGTGGTGGGGTGGTGGTAGTGGTGGTGGTGGGGATGGTGGTAGTGGTAGTGGTGGTGGTGGGGATGGTGGTAGTGGTGGTGGTGTGGTGGGATGGTGAGGTAGTGGTGTGTGGTGGATGGTGGTAGTGGTAGGTGGTGGGGGATTGGTGGTTAGTGGGTAGTGGTGGTGGTGGGGATGGTGTGGTAGTGGTAGTGGTGGTGGTGGGGATGGTGGTAGTGGTAGTGGGGTGGTGTTGGGGATGGTGTATGGTAGTGGGTGTGAGTGGGGATGGTGGTAGTGGTAGTGGTGGTGGTGGGGATGGTGGTAGTGTTGGTAGTGGGTTGGTGGTGGGATGGTGGTTGTATGTGGGGGTGGTGGGATGGTGGTAGTGGTAGGTGGGTGGTGGTGGGGATGATGGTAGTGGTAGTGGTGGTGGTGGGGATGGTGGTAGCATCAGTTTCACGGGTTGTTATAAGACTTCTGGCTACTTATACAAATTATAACATTTCTTATAGTACACTACAATAAATTCCTCTGCCACTACACAATAAATTCCTCTGCCACTACACAATAAATTCCTCTGCCACTACACAATAAATTCCTCTGCCACTACACAATAAATTCCTCTGCCACTACACAATAAATTAGTCTGCCATCACCTAATAATAAATTCCCCTGTCACCACACAATAAATTTCCCTGCCACCACATAAATTTCCCTGCCACCACATAAATTTCTCTGCCACCACATAAATTTCCCTGCCACCACATAAATTTCCCTGCCACCACATAAATTTCCCTGCCACCACATAAATTTCCCTGCCACCACATAAATTTCCCTGCTACCACATAAATTTCCATGCCACCACATAAATTTCCCTGCCCAACCACATAAATTTCCCTGCTTCACCACATAAATTTCCATGCCACCACATAAATTTCCCTGCCACCACATAAATTCCCTTGCCACATGTTACATTTCCCTGCTAAGACAAGAAATTCTAGGCCACCACATATATAATTTCCCCTGCCATCAACTTTTAATTTCCCTTCTTCCCTCAGCCGCCACCACCACCTCCAATATTCCACCACCATCATCACTACTACCACCACCACTATCGCCACCGCCAACACCACTATTACGCACACAGGTGTAGATATGGCCTGCACACCTGGCAGTAATGTGATAACCACTCATGATCGAGCAAAAAGACAGCAGAGAATGATGTATTCCGTTCACCAAAAATAATTATAATCATTATAATCAAGAAGAAGTGATTATAATCAAGAAGAAGTGATTATAATCAAGAAGAAGTGATTATAATCAAGAAGAAGTGATTTAATAGAAATAATTTAAGAAGAAGTGATTATAATCAAGAAGAAGTGATTATAATCAAGAAGAAGTGATTATAATCAAGAAGAAGTGATTATAATCAAGAAGAAGTGATTATAATCAAGAAGAAGTGATTATAATCAAGAAGAAGTGATTATAATCAAGAAGAAGTGATTTAATCAAGAAGAAGTGATTATAATCAAGAAGAAGTGATTATAATCAAGAAGAAGTGATTATAATCAAGAAAAGTGATTATAATCAAGAAGAAGTGATTATAATCAAGAAGAAGTGATTATAATCAAGAAGAAGTGATTATAATCAAGAAGAAGTGTTATAACAAGAAGAAGTGATTAATCAAGAAAGGTGAGTTATATCTGAGAGCTGGCATTATAATCGAAAAGCATCATGAAAATCAGCAAAAAGTGATTAATCAAGAAGAAAGTGATTATAATTCAAAGAAGAATTGATTATAATCAAGAAGAAGTGATTATAATCAAGAAGAAGTGATTATAATCAAGAAGAAGTGATTATAATCAAGAAGAAGTGATTATAATCAAGAAGAAGTGATTATAATCAAGAAAAGTGATTATAATCAAGAAGAAGTGATTATAATCAAGAATGAAGTGATTATAATCAAGAAGAAATGATTATAATCAAGAAGAAGTGATTATAATCAAGAAGAAGTGATTATAATCAAGAAGGAAGTACCAAAATAAGCTGGTATTTACAACCTATATAGCCGATGTACAGTAGTTGTAGTTATATACAATAAGGCAAATGCAAGCATAAGACACGGTGAACTGTGGCGACCAGCAGGAAAGGAAAGGCTGCTAAAGCTACTTCACGAGTGTACCACATCGCTTCACAGCTCTGGCAGGCTTGTGATTGGTTGGTTGAACCAAAGTACTGGTATAATGACGGTGCTCGTGATCGTTAAACCCTTAGCATATGGTTCACTGGTCGGGAGACATGTCTATATGAGTGTGTGACATACGCCGAATAAAATGTAATATACTCTTAGCATACCACAACCACCACCAGTAACTCTCCACCAACACCACTACCAATAACCCTCCACCACCAACATCACCACTAACTCACTACCACCACCACTATCACCACAACCACCACTACTACCATCGCTACCAATAACTCTACACCACTAACCCATCATCACCAACACCACCACCACCACCACTACCATCACCACCATCGCTACCATCACCACCATCGCTACCAATAACCCTCCATTGAGAGACATGCAAACAGCAGTAGACACATACTGACAGCAGCAGACACTTCATAAGACATACTAAAATCAGCAGACACATACAGAAAGTATCTGGCAACACTGATAGCAACAAACACGCACTGTCAGCAAAATATTAGATTTTGCCAACGAAAGTGCCAATGCAATTAATTGCGCTACCACTCCCTCCTCCCGTTCTACCACGCCTTTCCCCCATCCCCTCTCAAATATAACCTGACTTCCCTTCTCCGGTGTGACTTGCTAATGGTCCAAGTCGGACAGAAACGCCGTCATAAGTTAAGATATCACACTGGTTATTATATTGTCTGTCTCTATATTCCTCAAAAAAAAAAAACAAGTACATAGTATTTAAGAGAGTGACCGTAAGGCTGACCACATTGCATTTAATCTGATCATTATTTGTGCTTATACCAAACTGCCAGAAGTACTTGTAATTAAGCCTAAGCCTGGCTACTGCAACATCATACTGTTTCATAACAACCTGCTCTCTAAATATGCTTATCTATGTACATGTTATCATAGTTGTAGATCTACTGCTGCATTACTGTGACATTCAGATTCACAATTTACTTTTCTCAGTGTTATTACTGGCACATGCATGTCTAAGTTATATTCTATATTTCCCTTCAAGGTACTTTGTGTAACTTGTCAACTTTATCATGAAGGAGTAATTCAGTGTCTGATGGAATCTGTAACAACTGTACATCCATTCATCCATTCTTTATTATAATGTATATATTTGACTTTTTGAATGAACAAGTCACTAGAGTCATTATGTGAGTTAGGTGCCTTCAGTCATTATGTGAGTTACATGCCTTCAGTGATTATATAGAATCGTTAACTTCAGGGTCATTAGGATGGTAAACAATTTGGCTGGCAGTGTAGAAGCCCAAATGGAAATTGCTATACCTTACTCAACATAGTTGTTACAGTTGTAATCTAGGGAGGTGACAACAAGAGCGGATACTGACCTTCAAGCAGACTCCTCCTTAGATCCATTAGTTAATATTACCAACAGTTAAGAGAGACATTTCTTCTTGGCCAGTTGTCTTGGCAAATGATTTAAGGATGGAAATACTGGTGATGAGCTCCTTGGGGAGGAGGTTCTTGGAATGTGAATGAATACATTACCACGAAAGGCTGCAATACTCTTGTTGTCTACTGTGATACAGTTCGTGCAGGTTATGTAACTGAATATAATTGCATTTCACAATCAATTTAGGTGTGTTTAATTACTTTTAGACATTTAGTAAAGTTCATAGTGACATTGGGTCATTATTACGTGTCAGTAATAAGGATCTGATTTCATGAGATCAGTTATCACAAGGTGGGACTGTGTATCGGTTGTAATACGGGAAATTCACCAAACTGATTTAATCATCCCCCCAGGAAGGTTCCTTGATGCTGGTGAGGGGCTCTTGATCCGGGGAATTGGATCTGTGCTCCAGTTCCCTGAATTGAGCCTGAATACCTTCCACCCCCCAGACGCTGTATAATCCCGACGGGTTTAGCGCTCCCCATGATCATGATCATGATAATAATAATAATAATAATAATAATAATAATAATAATAATAATAATAATAATAATAATAATTTGTTATCAGTGACTTGTACTAATATAACATTACTTTTCTTCTTCTCTCTCTCTCTTTCTCTCTCTCTCTCCTCCTCTCTCATCTCTCTCCTCTCTCTCTCTCTCTCTCCTCTCTCTCTCTCTCTCTCTCTCTCTCTCTCTCTCTCACCTCTCCGTCAACATGTCTACCTTCCTCCCCACCTACAGACCCTCCTCAGTGCCATGAACCAGGTGAACACGAGGTGCTGGTGGTGGCCAACACCTCAGTCAGCCTCACCTGCCGGATGGACGCCCTCCCCACCCACCTCACCTTCACCTGGACTCTGGCAGACCCACCCACCGCCCACCAACCCACCCACGACCTCAGAGGCGGTATCATCACCGGAGACGCCCCGCCGCCCCGCCACCCAGGGCTCATCGACCTCACCCCAGGCCGCCCACCGGGGGCGGGGACGTGGGCGGCTCCTACGACCCGCCCTGGAGAGGCGCAGGGGTCGTGGGACGACCTCTTGAAGGAGACGCCGCCCACGGAAGGTCGTGTGGTGGAGCACCGAGTCCACCCACACGACCCACGGAGTTCCAGCGTTACTCTCACGCCCACGGCGCCCACGCAAGTGTTCTGCTACGCCCGCAACAGCGTGGGTCGTACCACGATCCCGTGTACATACCTGCTCACTCTTGTAGGTGAGTATCCCTTGGTGATGGTGAGTATCCCTTGGTGATGGTGAGTATCCCTTGGTGATGGTGAGCACCCCTTGGTGATGGTGAGTATCCCTTGGTGATGGTGAGTATCCCTTGGTGATGATGAGCACCCCTTGGTGATGGTGAGTATCCCTTGGTGATGGTGAGCACCCCTTGGTGATGGTGAGTATCCCTTAGTGATGGTGAGTATCCCTTGGTGATGGTGAGCATCCCATGGTAATACGGAGTATCCCTTGGTGATGGTGAGTATCCCTTGGTGATGGTGAGTATCCCTTGGTGATGGCGAGTATCCCTTGGTGATGGTGAGTGTCCCTTGGTGATGGTGAGTATCCCTTGGTGATGGTGAGTATACCGTGGTAATAGGGAGTATCCCGCGGTGATGATGAGTATCTCATGGTGATGGTGAGTATCCCTTGGTGATGGTGAGTATCCCGTGGTAATAGGGAGTATCCCTTGGTGATGGTGAGTATCCCTCGGTGATGGTGAGTATCCCTTGGTGATGGCGAGTATCCCTTGGTGATGGTGAGTGTCCCTTGGTGATGGTGAGTATCCCTTGGTGATGGTGAGTATCCCTTGGTGATGGTGAGTGTCCCTTGATGATGGTGAGTATCCCTTGGTGATGGCGAGTATCCCTTGGTGATGGTGAGTGTCCCTTGGTGATGGTGAGTGTCCCTTGGTGATGGTGAGTATCCCTTGGTGATGGTGAGTATCCCTTGGTGATGGTGAGTATACCGTGGTAATAGGGAGTATCCCGCGGTGATGATGAGTATTTCATGGTGATGGTGAGTATCCCTTGGTGATGGTGAGTATCCCTTGGTGATGGTGATTATTCCTTGGTCCTAGTGAGCATCCCTTGGTGTCAGTGAGTATCCCTTGATGATGATTATGTTTTGATGTTGCTGTGTATCCCTTGGAATACTGTAACTGCTCTCTCCAATGCATTAAATGTTCTTATGTGACTATAATAAATTCTGACTCTCTCTCTCTCTCTCTCTCTCTCTCTCTCTCTCTCTCTCCTCTCTCTCTCACTCTCTCTCTCTCTCTCCTCTCTCTCTCTCTCTCTCTCCTCTCTCTCTCCTCTCTCTCTCTCTACCTCTACCTCTCTCTCTCTAACCTCTACCTCCTCTCTACCTCTACCTCTCTCTACCTCTCTCTCTCTCTACCTCTCTCTCTCTCTCTACCTCAATCGCTATCATCACCACCACCATCACTACCACAATCATTACCACTACCACAATTATCACCACCACTACCACTAACTCGATATTCACAGATCCTCCTCAGCCAATCCGGGACTGCAACGTCACAGTAGTAGGCGTGACCCGACTCGAGGTCAAGTGTCATGACCTGGCCCCGACGGAGAGTGACCAGCAAGAGGTCACCGAGGTTCATCATGTACCTGGCATCAGCTTCGTCAGGTCATCTGGGGTCAGACCTACCACCAACCTGGAGGTAAGTTAGGTTACCAGAGTTCAGGTCCACCACCAACCTGAAGGTGAGTCTAGTCAAACCATACCACGGGCGGGGATAGAACCCGCGGTCAGAGAGTCTCAAAACTCCAGACCGTCGCGTTAGCCACTGGACCAGCTAGCCACAGTAAGATTCGTCCAACTAGGTATATTTCTACACCATAGGAAGGTTAGCATAGGCACCACTGTGGGTGCCACAGTGGGTGCCACAGTGGGTGCCACAGTGGGTGCCACAGTGGGTGCCACAGTGGGTGCCACAGTGGGTGCCACAGTGGGTGCCACAGTGGGTGCCACTGTGGGTGCCACAGTGGGTGCCACAGTGGGTGCCACATTGGGTGCCAAGGCAATCAGAGACCTGGGAGAAACCAATCATATGCCCTGAGCGTTAATGAGAAATTAGGGGTCAATACGACCTCCAGTCACCCTTCAGAGCCCTGAAGGTCGTGTCTGGTTACAGCGAGGTCGTAACTAGTCGAAGAAGGCATATAGTGGTCAGCACAGGTCAAAGAAAAAGTAGTACAAGGTCAGGGGAGGTCAAAGAAAAGGTTATATAAGATGAGTACAGGTCAAAGAAAATGTCGTAAGGTCAGGACAAGTCAAAAAAAAAGGTCGTACGAGTGAGTACAGGATAAAGAAAAGGTCGTACAAGGTCAGGTCAAAGAAAAGGTCGTACAAGGTCAGGTCAAAGAAAAGGTCGTAAAGGGTCAGGACAGGTCAAAGAAAAAGACATGACAGCTACATATGCCATCCAATACCAACATTATTATTATTATTATTATTATTATTATTATTATTATTATTATTATTATTATTATTATTATATTATTATTAAGTCAATGTGACCTGACCTGACTAGGTTTGCTGCATTGGCTTAAGCCGGTGGGAGACTTGGACCTGCCTCGCATGGGCCAGTAGGCCTTCTGCAGTGTTCCTTCGTTCTTATGTTCTTATTATTATTATTATTATTATTATTATTATTATTATTATTATTATTATTATTATTATTAATATTGTTATCGTTGTTATTATTTTTATTTATGATTATTATTAGTAGTAGTTAGTAGTAGTACTGCAGTAATTTTCGCGCCGAAGCGGTAAACCCGTAAGGGTCTTAAAGCTCCCAGGAGCAGGAGTTTAACTCTAGTTCATTGGATCGAATAATAACTCGACAGTGGTTGTAATGGTTCAGGAAGGACCGAAACGACACAGCTTGATAATGGACCAATATGGACCGAAACATCACTTGATAAACCAGGATGGACCGAAACACCACTTGATAATGGACCAAGATGGACCGAAACATCACTTGATAATAAACCAGGATGGGCCGAAACATCACTTGATAATGGACCAAGATGGACCGAAACATCACTTGCTAATGGACCAAGATGGACCGAAACATCATTTGATAATGAACGAAGATGGACCGAAACATCACTTGATAATAAACCAGGATGGACCGAAACATCACTTGATAATGAACCAAGATGGACCGAAACATCACTTGATAATGAACCAAAATGGACCGAAACATCACTTGATAATGGACCAAAATGGACCGAAACATCACTTGATAATGGACCACGATGGACCGAAACATCACTTGATAATGAACCAAGATGGACCGAAACATCACTTGATAATGGATCAAGATGAACCGAAACATCACTTGATAATGAACCAAAACGGACCGAAACATCACTTGATAATGAACCAAAATGGACCGAAACATCACTTGATAATGAACCAAAATGGATCCAAACATCACTTGATAATGGACCAAGATGGACCGAAACATCACTTGATAATGAACCAAAATGGACCGAAACATCAATTGATAATGGACCAAGATGGACCGAAACATCACTTGATAATGGACCAAGATGGACCGAAACATCACTTGATAATGGACCAAGATCGACCGAAACATCACTTGATAATAAACCAGGATGGACCGAAACATCACTTGATAATAAACCAGGATGGACCGAAACATCACTTGATAATGGACCAAGATGGACCGAAACATCACTTGATAATGGACCAAAATAGACCGAAACATCACTTGATAATAAACCAGGATGGACCGAAACATCACTTGATAATAAACCAGGATGGACCGAAACATCACTTGATAATGGGCCAAGATGGACCGAAACATCACTTGATAATGGACCAAGATGGACCGAAACATCACTTGATAATGAACCAAAATTAACCGAAACATCACTTGATAATGAACCAAAATGGACCGAAACATCACTTGATAATGAACCAAGATGGACCGAAACATCACTTGATAATGAACCAAAATGAACCGAAACATCACGATAATGAACCAGAATGGACCGAAACATCACTTGATAATGGACCAAGATGGACCGAAACATCACTTGATAATGGACCAAGATGGACCGAAACATCACTTGATAATGGATCAAGGTGGACCGAAACATCACTTGATAATGAAGAAAACGGACTGAAACATCACTTGATAATGAAGAAAACGGACCGAAACATCACTTGATAATGGACCAAGATGGACCGAAACATCACTTGGTAATGGACCAAGATGGACCGAAACATCACTTGACAATAAACCAGGATGGACCGAAACATCACTTGATAATGGACCAAGATGAACCGAAACATCACTTGATAATGAACCAAGATGAACCGAAACATCACGACTTAAACTGCGAATTTTAATTCAAATATAATTTTATATGAATTCCATTTAATAAATAGCAACTAAAATTTATAAACTTATTATTAAAAAAATAATTCCATATTTTCCGTAAACAAACGATAAATATAATCGGAAAAAATAATTCCATTATTTATTGGTTACGATTTTAGTTTTTTTTTTTTTTTCCCGAATTTTATTTCAGTGGGAAAATAAATTCTGGTTTGTGTCCGACTGGACATAAATGGCGGGTTTAATATTGGTCGAGGCTCTTATTACCCGGTGACGATCACTGTTGTCCAGCTGGTCAATAGATAGCTGCGGGACAGTTATAGATGGCTTGTTGCTCAATAGATGGCAGTTAAAATGTTAACTGTTGTGTTTATCAATAGATGGCGTCGTATGAAAATGGTTGGCACGTTTCTCAATAGATGGCAGTGATATGTGCTACACTTGTTTCTTAACAGATGGCAGTGATATACACTAATTTCTCAATAGATGGCAGTGATATACACTAATTTCTCAATAGATGGCAGTGATATACACTAATTTCTCAATAGACAGCAGTGACATTTACTAATTTCTCAATAGACAGCAGTGATATACACTAATTTCTCAATAGATAGCAGTGATATACACTAAACTTATTTCTCAGTAGATGGCAGTGATATATGCTACACTTGTTTCTCAAATTTTATAGTTAATATGGTCCTCAATAGACAGCCGTCACAATGTTAACTGCCAGTCTTCTCAATAGATGGCGTTGGAGGCGTAAGTCAACACACTGGCCGATAGATGGCGCCAGTTTCCCCATCATTAATCATAGCACCATCGACAAAAAATAATAATTTATCCATTAATTTGCAAAGCTGTCAATAATTAGGTTATTCCCGGTGACAGCTGCCTCCGCGCCGCCGCTCACTAAACACAACAGAAAATAATGCAAAGATCAAAAATGGCTGTAAATAACAACAAGGCACAATACCGTGACTGGAACAATACACAGATAACCCGCACACAAGAGAGAGAAGCTTACGACGACGTTCCGGTCTGACTTGGACCATGTACAAAGTCACAGTAACAGAAAAGGTAGGTAGGTATTAGGTTTGTACAAGAATGGTGCGAAGAGCTGCGACTACGGTGCTCTTCGCACCAACTCCAAGGCTGAGGGATTGATTACCTCATCTTTTGTATATAGTTCTACTGTGTTCAGATTATGTCCTAGAATCTGTATTGATAAAGCCACTGGATGGCTAAACGTCTACAATAAAGATACCCAGATGTTGCACATGTGTCTCAGTTTTCATCAGGTATTAGGTTTGTCAGGAAAGATGACAAGTGTTTCTTGAGGCGGGTCTTAGTCATATGATGACCCACAGCTGGAGCTTTTGGTCATGTGACCGAGGCCTTCCGCTAAACATTAACAGAAAGAGTTAGGGTAGGTTAGGTTTAGGTTAGGTTAGGTTAGGTTAGGTTAGGTTAGGTTTAGGTTAGGTTAGGTTAGGTTAGGTGAGGCTAGATTAGGTGAGGTTAGGTTAAGTTTGGTTAGGTTAGGTTAGATTAGGTTAGGTTAGGTTTAGGTTAGGTTAGGTTAGGTCAGGTTAGGTTAGGTTAGGTTAGGTGAGGCTAGATTAGGTGAGGTTAGGTTAAGTTTGGTTAGGTTAGGTTAGATTAGGTTAGGCTAGGTTTAGGTTAGGTTAGGTTAGGTCAGGTTAGGTTAGGTTAGGTTAGGTTAAGTTAGGTTAGGTTAGGTTAGGTTAGGTTAGGTGAGGTTAGGTTAAGTTTGGTTAGGTTAGATTAGGTTAGGTTAGGTTAGGTTAAGTTACGTTAGGTTAGGTTAGGTTAGGTTAGGTTAAGTTACGTTAGGTTAGGCTAGACAAGGTTTCCTGAAGCGAGGCAACCAGCACATAGAGTCGAGCAGGACAAGGATAGGAACAAGAGAGGAAGAAGAGGAAGCAGTGGTAGTGGTGAGGTAGGTAGTGGTTATAATCATAACCATAATTTTTAAATGGGTTGACTGGCAAGCCTGTGGAAGGCCTCGGTCAGATGACCCAAAGCTCCGTCTGAGGATCATCAAATGGCTAAGACCCGCCTCAGGAAACACATGTCCTGTTTCCTGACAAACCTTACCTAACATAACCTAATGCAGACGACAGAAGAACACTCAAACCACGGTACAGGTAAGATCTGAACCATTACGATTTCATGACTCAAGAGAACGGTGGATGGAGTGAACCAGATACTGGCACTAACAGGTGGATTGTACTCATTAACTTGTGTGATGCAAGTACTGTACA